TTATTTTAAAATTGTAGAATTCCCAAGTGGCAGATAATAATATAATTTAGTATATCTTGGAAGTTCCTATGTTCTTTGTAGGGTGAACTGATAGTGTCTAGATTTCTGTTCCCAGTATCCCAGGAACATTTTTAATTATTTAAGATAAAGAATTGCTATAATATTTTGTTTTTTAAATTACATAATTCAAGTGTATTTGGACTCCTTTTTAGTTTAATATAGACTTATCCTCTGATTCTGACAGATTATTTCATTTTACCCAAATCTGTATACATTAGTGATAAAATATCTTAGATAGCTAAAAAAGAGGTTCTGATTTTGTATCTGGAGAGTAACTTTTTTTTTTTTTTACAAATGCCAAGTTCATTAACAAAATTATTTTTATTATAATTTATTTTTTAGAGTTAACAGTATGCTTTTCCCATCCTACCGATTTTAAATTATGATACAGTTACATTCTATAACTTGTTTAAGTCTGTGCAGAGCCTTCTTAAATAGCCCCTCCCTTAGGAATTGTTTTTTTAAAAAGTGAATTCCCAAACCTAGTCAAGAACCAGTGATTTAAATGACTGCCTTTGAAAGGATTCCTTGAGTCTAGTCAATGGAGATAAATGATAGCCCATTTCCATGCTGCATACAGTTGTTAGGGTTTATAAAGTTGTCAATATGTAAAAGTGCAAAAGCAGGAAAGATGTAAAGTTGCCTATAAAATTTCTAGTTTTCATTATTTGCACTATTTATCTTTGCACTTGATTTTTTGGGAAAGTTAAGACTAGTCACTTTCACTTTTGTTTCTAGTCTTTTCTAATTTCTTACAGAATTGTTTTCAATATCCCACCCAAAGCAAAACTTATATGCAATTAAATATGCTTTATAAGTCCGAGAAAATATTTCTTAGTGTTAGCTATGTAGAACAAAAATTTGTTTTGATAAAAATTTTTAATATGGGCCTTTATTTGCCAATATAATCCTTTGTAAATGTGAGCTTTATTAAACTATTTAAATAGACAAAGTGAAAGCTTAGGATAGAAAAAAATATATATATATGTATATGAAACGATGTCTTTGAGATCCAGCTTCCAGCCTGAGATGGCCTGGTTTTGGAGTGTTGATTTATTTTCACTGAAGTCAATGAGATCTGAGTCTAGCTGGGTATTGGCTTAAAAAGCTGGAGGTGAAGTGGGTGGCAAGTGGCAGCTCCCTCTTTCATGTAGTTTTCCATAATGCTCATAGAGTTTCATCATGGTCTATATGATATAACTGGGTATTGAAATAATTACATTAAATGAATATTCCTTTTTGGAATTCAAGGTTCACTCACTTTTTGAGGGGGGGAGGGTGGCAAGGGATAAGAGACTTTATTTTAACTAGAAGAATTCTTATAACCTCAAGATGTACTCTAGGAAGAATAGGAGAACAAAATGTGTACCTGTGAACATATTTTTTGTCTCAGTGAGATTGTGCAACACAGTGTTCAAAATTGCAAAAAAAAAAGTTTGATAGTTTTGTCAATAGAACAGAAATGCGTTTTGGCTAAAATTAATTTTTGTACGTTATTTAATTATTTCATTTTATATTCCCTTCCCGTATCCTTTTGGGCGCTTCATACTTCTAACAAGTGAGAGGCCTCTCTTTAGATCTGGTTTATTTTTGGAATGCCTGAGTGTGTTTCTCTATTGGGGGGGGTCGCCACAGGGTGTTGTTTTAATTCTTGACATGCTCTTCTCAGCATGTTTTGGTAGTCATCCTGGATCTCATGTTTGCAAATTCTGTCGATAATTAAGTGATGTATTGACCTCTATGACATAGTGTGAATGTTTGTGGCTGGCCTTTATTGTAGAACCTTGTGGTTTTGCTTTCAATTGGGATAGAAAGTTAAACTTCCATTGTTCAAATTTTAGGTTTATCTAGTGGAATTGTGCCCGATAGTTGTCTAACTATAGACCAGTTTTGGGGAATGAAGGTTGACAAATGTGTATTTGACTCTAGATAATCCTTTACTCAAAATCGTAAATTAAAGGCTATAGTATTAGAGTTGTCTTAAGTTTTAGGTTGTCAGATCTTTAAATGTGGATGATGATCAGCATTGTGTTTATGAATTTCCTTAGGGAAAAGAGAAAAATTCAGTCTCCAAACCTTTTCTTAGAGACTAAACTTACCATATATGGAAAATGAAAATATTTTAAAAAGTGGCTTTGATTATTTTTTAATGGAGTTTAATCAGCTTAATTAATTATTTTTCCTAGGTTGAAGCACTTATTTCCCAAATTTGAATAAAGGGAAAAGATCAGCAATTTGGCCCCTTTTTTTTGAGGCCATTTTTAGTTTTCTGCCCTCGTTTCCCAACCCTAGTATAAAAATGAATTACGGGTATCCCTCTAAGTCCCTGTAACCCCTTTTTGAGATCACAGAAACCTTTGATAATCTGATGAAAGTGATGGACCCTCTCCCCAGAAAAAAAAAAATGCACATACACAGATAATTTTACATACAACCTCAGGGGCATCACACATCTAAAACCCAAGTTAAGGATCTCTGCTCTAAGTAAACTCTATAGAGAAATTTTAATGCAATTAATTGATAAAATTAAGAACTAACTATTGGCTTAAAACATTTCAGATTGGAATTATTGTTAGATGGTGGCCCCTACTAGCAAAATGTGACATTGCAACCAGCTTTGTTAGACATCCAGACAGAAGGAAAAAAGAAGCAATGTTCTGAGAGCTATTTATAAGGAGTCAGGGCATCTCTAGACGTGGGAGCCATTCCTGGTTCAAGGCAGGGGTCAGGGTGCCTGACAGCTTCTAGCAGGGTAGAGTTTGATAAACCACAATGCTCAGGATGCCAAGGGGTTAGCCATTATCTTAACCCCTTCCTCACCAAAAGATTTAGTTTTGTCTATTAGGAAAAAAGAAGTCACTGGGAAAAAAAAAAAAAGATTTGCCTTACAACTTTGCTGGAACACATCAGTTTGGTGATGTATGGGACACCAGTATTATTTGTGAGAAGGTACATAAAACCAAAGTAAATTATTCTCTATGTAGAACATTATTTACTAGTATCATTTGTTTGGATGTATTAGCTTTGACAATTTTTACCAGTAAATATTGGTTTTATTTAAAACTGGGAATCCAGTTTATAAATAGGATAGTTGTTGTATCTGTCCTTTCCCCTATGTAAAGAATAGTTTAAAGATTTATGCATACTTTTTACTTTTCTCTCTTGATGCCATGGAGTGGGGTGGGGTGGGGTGGGGGGAGATCTTTGAGTCAATAACTGACAAAATGTCTTCTCCAAATTTAAAAATTGAGAAACAGCACTTTAAGTCCTAACTCTACACCATTTTAGTGCATGTATTAGTTTTCATTAATGATTTTTGGTGCATGCCTTTGGGCTTCTTCAAAAGTGTACAATAGGAAAGTATATTTCCTTTCTTAGAAAGGAGATTTTTTTCTACTTTGCAACTTGTGATTACAAAAATCTTCCTCTGTGGGAAGATTAACCATGTATTGAACTACTGAAAAGTATATATTTTTAGATATACAGAAGGAATCTACATGGAGCAGCATTCAGACCTATATAGAAGTCATAGCATTCTGTATAGGACCAAAAAGGAAATAACATTAAACACTTAAACAGACTTTGTTGGGTAGAAATACCTTTAGATCTTGCATTGACTTCCAAAAAGAAAATACCACAGAAGTTTGCTGAAAACTTTTGTTGTTTGAATTTTCTCTGTCAGTGTATTTAGCCCAAATATAACAGCTTTGGGTTAACACATACATAAGAATCAAAAAAACAAAGCTAACTAAATAGATCAGTCTGGTTTGTCAATCCAGCTTGACTGAAATAAGTAAACTAATCACTTGGAACATGAAAAACTGTCCAACTCCTCTAAGGTTTTGACAAAATAACCTTGGCTGATGTGGGAAGATACCCACTTTGATTTCTGACCTGACAGTGAAGATTCATGCTTGACATGATTTCAAACCTGACAGTGTCTGTTTAAGGAGCTATGGTACAGTTTGCTAATTCAATCCCAGATACCTGTTGATTACCTGTGAGATCTAGAGTCCAAAGTAGCCAGCAGCCATATCCCTGAGTGCTCTGTGCCCATCAGATCTCTTAAAGTAAGCAGGGTTGGGACAGGTCACAGCTCAGATGAGTGACCTCAGGTGCTGTGGACAGCCCCAGATTCAAGAATTGTATCTGTTTTCTTGGGAGTCATCACTGAACTAATGTCCCACATGGTGTTACTTACTGTAGATGCTCTCTCTTAGAGGAGGCCCAGAGCACACATCCTAATCGCTTGTGGTACTCAGAGAGGGGGTGCTAACTCTGAGGCCCTGGCCAAATTCCAGTTTAGGGATGTGGGTCTTCTTCTTGCCATTCTAATTGGAAATGTGCATCGCTTCCCATTTTCCCTGTTGACCTCAGTGCAAACTGCATTAGTCTGTTTCTTTGCCCTGGTCCCAGGTAAGATGCTGGTGTGTATTATATGGGCCATGTTCATGCCTTATCTTAATGCACAAGAGTTGAGGAATGAGTGAGCTCCATATCAAAGTGCCCTGTAGTTAGAGGGGAACTCTTGTGTTGCTTTGGAGGTGAAATGGGCCCTTTTAGCATAAGTTGGAGAATATGCACTGGCCAGAGGCTTCCAGCCATGAGGTGTGAATTGAAACCTATTTCCCTCTTTTCTTATAGCACGTTGAGAAAATCTGTTGGGTTTTCAGCAGTCAGGGAAGGCCGGAGTTCTGCAGCTTTAATCTGGGTAACTGAGGCTGGTTGGGGCAAGACTTTGGTTAATTAACTGGGTTCTCAGATGCCACAGACTCCGTGAAAAGTCACCATTATTTTCAATGGTTGTGATAGAATTTCCCCCCAGTAGCCATTATTTTAAGATTATATTGCAGAGTTGCTTTATTTGAGCTTTTCATGTATACACAATCCCAAACTGGAAGAAATAATTAAAAAAAAAAAAAAAGGAATCCTGCTGTGAAAGGTATATATTACTCTAGATTTTTCTTACTGTAAATATTGTAAGATTGTAATACTGTCGATATTTTATTAACCAACAAATGTTAATCTATGTGAATTCAGACTTATTTTAAATGTGCTTCTTATTTACTGTGTGTGGTCCCTGTTGCTGACAGTATTAAGTTATATTCTGATGTAAGATTAACTTTATTAAAGAATGTAAACATTCATGTTTCCTTATGGGAAAACAAATAAAGTATAAAGAAGACAATTCTTTTCATTAAAATATACTGTGTATTTACACTTGCTAGACCCAGCACCACTTATAAATTTAGTACACTGTTCAGAATTTTAGTTAACACGGCTGACATGGTTGTGCTCTGTTTGAAAGTCTAAGAGTAGGTATTGTTGGAATATAAAGTTTGTATTTGTCTGCTGTGAATCATAATCTTGAAATTTCTAATCAAGTTTGTAAAATTTTTATAGTAAAACATTTTAATGACAATTTAAAAATTTACTTCTCTAAAGAATGGTCAAAACAGTATCCTTTCAAAAATAGAATTGTTCTTTAATATCTTTCCAAACACTTTGGTTAAATGGACCAGATGTATATTAGTTAAAATTTAGGACAAAGTTGTGATATTCTTTGAGTTTACAAGTTAATCCTTATTGGAAATGTGCCAATTATACAGTAGAATATCATTAATTTGCACTGTTTGGGGACCCCATTAAGAATGCTGAATTTTGCCAACTAAGAAGTAAGCAAATGCAATTTAAAAAGTAAATTTGAGCATTCTGTATTAAATATGTGCAGTTATTATCACATGAAGAAGCGCAGCGTGTCGGGCTGTAATATAACCATACTTGCTGTCATGTTCTCCCATCTCAGTGCTGGGAACTCACCATGTGGAAACCAAGCAAATGTGTTGTGCATCAGCCGGCTTGAGTTTGTTCAATATCAAAGCTGAAACTAGCGAGGTCTGCTGTACTGCTTATTGAAGTATTGTGATTCTTTTAGGCATTGATTCTTACAAAATATATACTGTAACAGTATACTTTGTACAGATTTAAATTTTATTTGAAAAAAATGAAATAAAGTAGGCAAAAAAATAAAGATGTTTATTTTTCATGTGACTATATAAACAGATCAGTCTTTTGTTTCAGTGTCTTTGGGGGGATCTGGTTGCTCTTGCGTTTTTTTGTTTTGTTTTGATCGATGGAAACCATTTTTAGGACTCAGTAACAGGTATTCTTGCCTGATCATTAATTGGCTGCAAGCTTTAAGTGTGCTCTCTCGCACTGGAAAACTCTATTTTCTATTTTATTTTAAAACACATTTATTGGGGTGCCTGGGTGGTTTAGTCGTTAAGCGTCTGCCTTCGGCTCAGGTCCTGATCTCAGGGTCCTGGGATGGAACCCCGGGTCGGGCTCCCTACTCAGCGGGGAGTCTGCTTCTCCCACTCCCTCTCCCTCTGCCCCTGCTCCTGTGCTCTCTCTCTCTCACTCTCGCAAATAAATAAAATCTTAAAAAAAAGTCAAAAAGATAGGCAAGTCATTCACATAAAATCTTTAGAAATAAATGTGTTTTAAAGACATTTATTTACTTTTTTTAAAGATTTTATTTATTTGACAAAGAGAAACAGCGAGAGAGGGAACACAAGCAGGGGGAGTGGGAGAGGGAGAAGCAGCCTCCCCACCTAGCAGGACCCTGGGATCATGACCTGAGCCAAAAGCAGACGCTTAACTGACTAAGCCGCCCAGGTGCCCCTGAGTCGTTTTTAAAATTCTCTGATGGTATGATGGTTAACCTAGCCAGTCACAATTGAGGAAAAAGAAAAAGTTTTCCCATAAATCATGTCCCTTTCCCATGGAAGCGTTTTTTGTTTTCTTTCGTTTTAAAATTGAAGTTGGTTTAAGATAGTGGAAGACTTACCAAAGAGTGCATGACAAAACATTGAAGAGAATCTTCTGCAGAAAATAGAGGTTGTGCTTAAAGGTCCTTTCAGAACTGCTTTTCTAGTTAGTTGGAGTGGTAGACAGAGAATGAAGTTACCAATGAAAATGTGGCTCAAGTGTGATCCTTCAGAATAGTTTTAATGGGGTCTTCGTACAGAAGATTAGATTATTAGACCAAAAAAATCCCAGTTTTGTCCTCTAATTCAAAAACCAGTGGAGGCCTTATGTGCATGACATTTTCCCCAACCTTTAGAAGTAGAGCTGGAAGTTTTATTTCTGCTTTCTCCTCATTTTATCTTTGCTGATGCTTTCATTTACCTTCAGGATGGATAGAAGGAGGCTTGGAACAAGTAGTTTCAGGGACAAGGTTCCTGCAAAAGTCACACCATAGAAAATTTTTCAGTGTATTTAAATGTATGTGACTATTATATTCTAAAAACTGATATATGGCCATAAAAATATCTCAAGATCATAGTATTACAGTTCCAGGCTTTCCTGGGTGAATCCCGAGAAGGTTTTGCTATTGTTGTTACTGGTTTTTTCTTGCTAAAGTGGCCCTCCTTTGTAGAGAACAGCAGACTAGCTGTTGGACTAGCTTCTACATCTGACAGCCGCCACTCCAATAAAAATAATGCAGAAACTTTGCTTATGAAAACTTAAAGCTGAGGGTGTCACTGTTTGGAGGAGGTAGGTGGGGTGCAAAGAAAGTTTTCCCTACATTCTGCAGGGCTTCTGATTTGGGAGGCACACACAGAACAGGTGGGTACTTCCTGAAAAGGAAACCAGATTCCCTTCTGGGCTAAAGGCGGAATCAGTCTAACCCTTGGATCCCTTTCGAAGAGTTGGGCTGTCTAGTTATAGGAGCTTGAGGTGGAAATTCTAGCCATGATTTGTGGTAAGTATAAGGGAAGGAAAAGTCAGAAGCCCCCTTCCTCACTGTCTGTGACATTCTTTTAAAGACTCCTGATGGGACTATGATAAAATATGATAAAATATGCCCTGTAGTCACTTTGAAGAGCAAGTAGTGAAGAGCAGGGCTCCAGGGGATACAGACTTGGGGTAGGTCTGAACTACAGGACAAGGCGTATAGTGCAAGGGAGGGAGACCCTCAAGAAAGGGGCCCAGCATGTTCAACAGAATGATTTGTCATTTTTATTTAGCTCTTTGTTTTCTAAAGTGATGTAATTGGCAAACTCTTCCCACCCTCACCTCTAATAGATGTTAACTTTTATTTAACCATGTGGTATGTCATTTACTTTGGCTCTTTTGCATGATTTTTAGAAATCTCTTTGTTCCTAGTTCCAGTCTTTCTAAGCAGACAGGACTTTTTGATTGCGAGTACAGGGTTTGGAAGAGGTTCATTCAGGATCAGAGGAAAGAAGAGTTCTCTTTTTCGGTGTTTGACTGCTAGCTAACCTCAGGGCTGGCACACATCACCACGGCTTTCACTTCACCATCCCCCATGCTTCTGGAACTTGAGGGGGAGGAGCCACTATTTTTTCCTCTTAAAATGGGGATTCTACCCTCATATTGCAGATCTCCAGAGTGTTTTCAGTAAGGTTGTCCCAGTTCTCCTCAACAATGATTTTTATTTATTTTGATTTGTTCCAATTGGACCATTTGACGCTTAGGTTGGCAGTGAGGAAATGTCACAAAACAGAGTCAGTGAATGTTGCAATGTTTAAAAGAGCAGGATATCCCCACCTTATTCTCATCAATTTTTTAGTACTTACAAAGTTTC